GGCGTACGCAACAGCACTTTGCCAGCTACGCTTCTTTCATCTAATTTTCTGAAACACTCTGCTTTTATATTTACTCGTGAAATGATCAGCATCTAGGGCGGCTTGGAAAACTCTCATTAGATTATGAAAAGTGGCTCCGGAGAAGGCCATGTTGAGCCTGTCTCACTTGTAGAACCTCTGGCACAGGAGCGTTTATAGTTTGCAGTTCACCCCCATCTAATGCAAAAAGGGCCGAGGCCATCTGAAATAGAAGTCATCTGAGAGGTTTATTACATTTGGATATTTTAGTGAGCTGTGCTTCATTCGCCAGAAAATGCCAACTGGAAGCACTGGCTTTACAACATTCAGTGTGATACAACATGGTAATGTGTACTCACAGAAGGACCGCTCATGGAGTTTACAGTGTTAAAAAAACATGGTAAAGCCATCCACTTCTCTTTTTAAAACTGTTACTATGAACTTTAAAAAAAAAAATTGGAATAGTTTGAAAGATGATCAGGTCTGTGCGTATAATGGTCAAATGGACTTGCTTATACCTTATTCAGTTATTTCAGTACAGTTAGGCATCACTAATGTTTATGGTGGTTTTACCGTAAAGTATATTCTTAGTTATGTATTTTTATTCCATAATATACCATTAAGTACAAAAAGTGTAAGGGTTACGGAAGATGAAATCAAATAAATTAAGGAGCATTATGTAGTTTAAAGCAAGTTGATACAGGAATTCGAGGAGAAAGAAGAAATGATATGGAAACTCCAATTCAGTGGGAAAATATAATGGGATTTAGATAGTGATCCACCCATTTGGGGTCTTGGTTATAAATTTAAGTGAAATTAGGCAAACCTGTGGTGTGATCTTTCCCCAGCATCATTTAGCTGCTGGACTGCAAATGTAAGGAAAGCCAATAGTTTGATTTTAAACTTTTGATGGAAGCATAAATAGGCCCGAGAGTCAAAGATAATTGCAAGGTCATGATAATGGCACCAGAACATGGAATCCAAGCTGTTCAAGCCATAAACGATAGATAGGAGATGGTGGAGTGTGGGAAAGTGGCGTGACCCGTGAGCTGAAAGCTTCAAAAATGAGGCTGAAGGTGAAGCAGAAAGATGAAGTCAAAAGGATGGGATGTGTGACATCAAGATTTCAAATGTGATAGACCTTGGAAATGGCTGAGATAGGAGATCTTTGAGAAGTCAAGGGCCTGTGAGGCCATGGCCGTGCATGTGAGTTTTGAAATCAACTGTAAATGACAAGAATAGGGCTAGTGACTCAGGTTGATGACAGTAAGCAGGTTGAAACTGGAGAGCATGAGCTTAAAAAGAGTCCACACCCCAAACAAAAACTTTAGGCTTTATAGCAAAAGATCCATGAATGTACATTTAGACAGTTTAAGATTTTTCAAAAAAGGTGCAGACCATTTCAATGCCCCTTCTTCAACATTCTTTTAAAAAATGTATCTGCTTATCGCTTTAGCACAGTTAGAACTTCTGCAAAGTGTAAACTCTTCATGGCAGTCTTGCTGTCTTCTCTGTCTTATTTGTCTCCCTTAGTTTGCTCCCATGTGAGACTAGTTCTTTGGCTCGTCTGTAGCCCAGTGATAATGGGGGTGGGTGAGGACTTTGTTGGGGGACCTGAGCTCTGCACTCTTGAGAGGCTGAAGCTGCTCCTGCCAGTTATATATTCATCTTATTACTAAGGGTGGACACCGTGAATGGTCCCCGAACTGGGTGCCGGAGCTGGAGAGTAGCAATTCTTGAAGGTACTGCTGGTGGGAAAGGGATTTTCATTATTGAGGATTTTTCGTGGATTTTTCTAAGGACAGCCTCTTACTTCCTCGATTTGCTTTGTTCTCAGTTTGGACGAGAATTCTTAGAATGTTGTCCACTTTCTTTTCCTACAATGAGGTGGGTTAGATGCTAATTTGAGCCTAGTTAGAGTCTTACCTGAATGTGTTTATTTCCTTTTTGTTTGTTTGTTTGCGTGAGGTTGTGGATTTTTCCTGTGTGGTGGCTAATGATTTTATTGTGACTTTTTCCTGTTCCCTCACTCCCTTACCAATTCTTTAACTATTAAATATGACCCAGCTGTGATCCCGCTCAACTTCATTGTCTTCACCCAGAAGTAACCTTACCTATTCTTGGTAGAGGAAATAGAAGTCATAGATTTTCCAGTACCATATCCCACAAACAGGTATGCATGTAATAAGCATTGTTCTTATTCTTGATGGAAAGGAATTGGCCAAAAGGGCAAAGAAGGAGTGGCTGGGGAGGAAAGAGGGAACCCAGAGAGTATCAAGAACCGAAGCCAGTGAGAAATTTTCAGCAAGGTGTGAGTGGTCCACTCTCACAGTTGTGTGAAAAAGGGTGACAGCTTAACTTTTTGGACTTAGCGGCATGGAAGAATCATCCCTGTCCTTGACAAAAGTTGTTCTTGTGTCCTGGCCAGTTCAGGAAAGAATGCTGCTTCAAACAGTTCTTAAATGAGTGTCTTTATATATACATACACATTCAGTTGTATGTATGTTTAGTTGTTTCCTTAGGGTCCATTCATAAGTAGGGTCACTGGACCAATGTCGTCATTGAGAAAGATTTTAGGCGAGCATATTATAGGTGATCATTTCATAGGGGTATTTTTTTTAGTACAATATTAATTTTTTTACCACTCCACTTCCTACCAGAAGTAACCCTTAGTATAAGAATATGGGGAAGAGTGGAAATAATTCAGGCAGATTCACAGAATCATGGGAAAGCCTCATATTCAAGATAAGTAGACATAGGTTATTTGGGAGAGACATAAGGATATGCTTTCAAATGTAGGTCCAAAAAGGAGACAGGATGAGCATGTGTCTCTTAGTTAAAGGTCCAGAGCATCAGTCCAGCCATTGAGTATTACCTATCCAGGTGGTAGACGAAGGTTTAGATTGGCAGGTGTTTGATTTCATGGCACCCAGCTAAGGAGTGGTGCTCTTGAGTCAGAAAGTCCAGCTGCCAGGACATGGCTTCTTGTACTCAAGATTCATCCAGAAAGGAAAAAAAGCAGAATCTCAGTTCTGCCCAGTTACTAAAACTCAACAGTTCAAGGTAGGGACTTAGGAACCAGGGCCAGACCTTGATCAGGTGCAAGACAAGTTCCTTTTGGCATGTGCTATTTCCAAGCATAGGGACAGTTAGAGGGCCGGGGTTGTAGTGGGGCAGACATCTGTTGATGGGGACTGAGCTCCATTTGGGCAAGTTTGAAGATGTAGCAGGGCAAAGACCAATCATTATTACACAAAATTTCAGTAGAAATAATAAGGACAGAATAGTAGTATTAGCGCACCAATAGCACGAATGCTTTATTACTGTAAAGAGCCAGTGTCCTAATGAGGTTTTCCTACCCCAAAGTACCAAAAATTATTACGAGGATCGCTCTTCAAGGTGCAGTGCACAACGATGGGGAGGGGATAGTCCTAGGTTCTTGATAAGGATTTGATTGAGATAACCAGGCCTGATACACAGGAAATACGATCTAAGGCGGTGTTTCTCCAAGCTGGCTATGAATAGAATCACCCCAGGAGCTTTTAAACTCCTGCTGTACCAGCCTCACCAGAGGCTCATAATTAAAATCATAATCTCTGCAGAATTGGTCCAAGCAGCAGATGGTTTTTAAGCTCCCAGGTGATTCCAATGTATAGCCAAGGTTGCAAACCACTCTTCCAGGAGAATTTTGCAATTAAGACAAGGAGTACTGGAAGCAATGGCCAAATGCAATTAGAGCTAAAAAGATGTGAGGCTGGTCGAATCTGTGGATGAGCAGGGCCAAATGTAGAGTCAGAAACCATACACTGATTTTCAGCTGCATGGGGTGTCTGTACCCCTAACACTCATGTTGTTCA